AGCTCTCTTTGTCCTGTTCTCAGAATACTGAAACTTCCAATAAGTGGACTGTGTTAAAACGGGATGTTACCAGAGCCTTTCGTATTAGTGAATCGGCTCCACAGGCACCTTGGCCGTTGTCCCAGCCTTCTCTCTGCCTGCCCCCACGCTGGACTTTCTTCCGAAACTCCTCTTTTGTTAACCTGACTCTGGGCCAAGTATACGTGCTCTTGCTCATAGGCAGTTCCATTGCTCCACTGCTGTTCCTGCTTCTCCTTGCCTCGAGACCTACCTTTCTCTCACCCTGCAGAACGTCAGCCTCCTTCTCCCCCTTGGACGCATTCTTTACCTCTTTCTTTACTTTAGTACCAAAAAACTTTAGTACCAAAAAACATACTAACTGTACCACATCACTAGTTTGCAGCTTTACTTTTCCCTTTAAAAATGAAATCAAAATCTTGAGAATATACACATTCTTTTGTGAAACCTGTCATTTTAAGAAGAGCATAAATTGAAATCACATGCAGCTATAACACAAATGACTCCTACATTGGCAGTTGCTGGTAGAAACATTTGTTGTTTAGTGGGGGGTTTTTTTGTAGTTGTTTAATTCTATCACTGATAACCAGATTAGTCAAGGCAGTGTTACTTAGGGTTTTTTGCTTAAGCAAATAGTCTGCGTGTATAAAATCAGGCATTAATGCGGGATTTCTTAATATGGGTTTTGCCCTTTTCCTTTATGATCTAATTGTCCAATAGTGGTATCGTTTGTTCATTTGCTTAACAAATATTTATTGAATTACTTTTACATGGGATGCATTACGCTTACCAAGGAGGTGAATGGAGGGTCTACTGACTAAAATTTGTAGACTTCCCTTCTGCAATCTAGTATCTTTAAAGCAATAGAATTTGACTTTTCCCATTTTTTTAGATTTTACCAGTGTTCATCCTTTAAAGTATTTTGGAGATGCTTATGCTACTATTTTTTTTACATGGATTTTGTATTTCTGAAATATTCTAAATAATTTAAAAATTGAATTCCCAGTGTAGTATGTAAATCTTAATTAAGTATAATGAAGAAAATCTTTAAGTGATTTTGATGAGTGATTATGGACCATGATTGTAGCCTAATGACTCGTGACATTAACTTAATAGGAATCTTTTTTTAGGTGTTGAAAAGGAAAATGTGCCCTTCTGTATGTATGTGTATAATTGGGCTAGTTGTAGGCAAGTTGATGAGTGTTAAGGAGAATTACTTACTTTGAACTATACTTAATGAATTTTTTAAAAATTTTTATATGAATGAGATTTTAATTAGCGGTTTTATTCTGCTATGTGGCCTTTTAGGAGACTATATAGAAGAGACCATATGTTGTTAGGGACTTAATAGGTTAACTGTTTGAAACTTGGGGTAAAAGAAAAAAAAATCCGAGTTCTAGTTCACTTTTTGCTTACTGTAAGGAAGAAGTGAGATTGAGATAATATAAGTGAAGCTTTTAACACAGTTTCCAGCACATAGTAAGTGCTCTTTAAATGCCTGTATAAATTTGTTACAGCTATTGTTTTGTTAGGATTTTAGCTGTTAGGTCATGTAGGCTTTGAGCTTTTTCTTTGCTGGGAAGAAGTAAGAGATACAATTGGCTCTTGAGATAATAATTCCAGAAACACTAGTAATTGTTCTAGCTTTCTAAGATGGAAGTATATTCTAAATTGTTCTGAAGTGATAATAGTAATTAGTGCTAAGTATTTTTTTAAAGATTTTATTTATTTATTTGTCTGAGAGAGAGAGAGAGAGAGAGAACAAGCAAAGGGAGAGGCAGGCAAAGGAGGAAGCAGGCTCCCCACTGAGCAGAGAGCCTGATGCAGGGCTCAGTCCCAGGACTCAGGGATCATGACCTGAGCCGAAGGCAGAAGCTTAATGGACTGAGCCACCTAGGTGTCCCATAAGTATTTTTTTTTTAATGGTTTATAAAACAAAGGTAAAACAAGGTCTGGCTACACCTACACCAGAGGATATGATTTTGGTGTTACAGTTTCTTGAAAATAACACGATATTTAAAAATTTTTCTGAAAAAGACCCCCCCCCCCTTTTTTTTAATGGTTAGGACAGTGAAACTTAGTTTCCTCTCAGTCCTGCCTACAACCTCTATATGTTCTTTGCTCTTCAGCTTTACGGACCAGATATTTCCAAATTTTATTATTTTGTGCAAAGCCAGAAAAACCTCATTTTGACTTTGAAGGCATGTTGAGGTCAGTGATGTTTCATTAAGTACATGGTTCAGTGGTGAAGTAGAGTTGCAAATTGTTCTGACACTTTGTGAGATAATGTTAAATTAATTTATTTGTGTTAGGTAAAGATCCCTGCTAACCTATTTTAAACTATTCAAGGTTGGGGCGCCTGGGTGGCTCAGTGGGTTAAGCCTCTGCCTTCGGCTCAGGTCATGATCTCAGGGTCCTGGGATCGAGCCCTTTTCTCAGCAGGGAGCCTGCTTCCCCCTCTCTTTCTGCCTGCCTCTCTGCCTACTTGTGATCTCTGTCAAATAAATAAAATCTTTTTTAAAAACTACTCAAGGTTTATTAAAGTATTTTAAGATTTAGTTCTTTAAAGATGTCATGATTTTCAGCCCCTAGATTAACGTTTTGAGTTTTGAATCATAAGATAACCTCTTTTAGTTAAAACCCTTGAAGTTGATATTTCAAATACATAATACGAAGGTTAAGTTTTTATATGAGCTCTTTATTTTTAAAAAGTTAATTCAGTGTTTTCCTTTCTAAATTTAAAAGATGAGATACTTTGAGGCTAAAAATGGCATGACACTATGGATGACAGCATTGACTTTTAGAGCTGTTGCACTAGAATTGGAAGGAAGTGAGTGTATGCCACCTGAACTTGAATCAGGATGCAGTGCCTGCGAATGAATTCAAGTGCCAAGAGTATGACAAGAATAAGTTACCACTTATAAAGACGCACTTACCTAAACAAACTGAAACCCCAAGGAATTTTCAAATTGTGAAGTAATGGGAACAATTGTTTAATGTGGGAGGAAGGAGCTAGTACATGCCTCCCTCCTTGAATGTCTTATAAGATCAAATTATGGAGTGCGATGATTGAAACAAGGAAGATAATTTAGTGGAAGCATAACAGATAGATTACCATTTAAAGAGGCCAGATCCCTGAGAACTGATTCCCGTAGGGGATAAGGCTAAGATTAGAACACAAAGAGGTGTTTAGAAACAGACTGCCACTTGATTATCTCCCCCCCACTCCCCCTCAGGGAGTTAGAAATACTTAGTTCTAACCCTCTGTAAACATTCCTACACCTGTCTTCACTCACTTGCTTCTTTCTTAGTCACTTCGAGGTGTCTTCTCAGCTTGGAGGAGTTCATTTCCACCTGACCTTTTCGCCCCACCTCTTAAAAGCATGGGCAGCCCTGCTCCAGCTACCCTGAAGTGCACACACCAGGGTTCGTGTTTACTTCCTAGCAGCATGCAGTCGGTCAGTCGTTATCATACCAACCCCCTGCTCCTTTTGAGTTCTGCAGTTAATTAGTTATAGATAAGCATTTATTTAATGTTTTTCTTCCACTCAAGTAAGTCTTTTCTTTATTGCTAACTTCCCAGCCTCTGTCCAGGTGCCTGGCAGAGATAGGCACCCAGTAAACACTTGCTGAATAATTGCCAGCAGGAGGCTTCTGCTAAAATCTGGTCATGGCACAGCTGTGGTCTGAAGCAGATGTGGGAGAATGTCACTAAAGCTAGAGACATAAGCAGGGACTAGATCTCAGAGCGACATAGTCATATGAAGGACCTTGTGCTTCATCCAAGAACAGTTAAGAGGCCACTGAAGGAGTATAAGTACCAAGTCTATCTTCGGGTGGACATCTCCCTTTTAGATCTCTTGCTAGTACTTTCTTTGTGGTTCACAGAAAGTGTATTTGGCTCATGAAAAGCAGAGTAACATTGTATGATTTATGGTTACCAATACAGTAAGTTTCCAAAGACGTTTCTAGAGTACTTTTCTTATGCTTTATAAAATAATCATTTTATGTATTAAAATGATAGATACAGATTTATAAATAGAATTTAAATATTTAATATTTAATTTATTATTAATTTAATATTTATTTAATATTTGAAATATTATTTCAAATCAGAAATGACTATACTGAATTTGGGGATCACAGCAAAACCAAAACCTATAGTATTTATAACTTTTACATTTAAAAAAGCAATTGCTATGTATCTAAATTCTTCTGAGTAATTCAGTGTTACATACCTAAATATAGGCAGAAGGAAATAGATAATTAGCTTCATGCAAGGAATAAAATAAGAATGTTATAAAAATAAGTATTTTCTGGGGCACCTGGGTGGCTCAGTTGGTTAAGTGTCTGCTGGGATTGAGCCCCGCATTAGGCTCCCTGGTCAGCGGGGAGTCTGCTTCTCCCTCTCGCGGTGACCCTCCCCACTGCTCCTGTCCTCACTCAAGTTTTCTCTCTCTCAAATGAATTAAAAAAAAAAAAAAAAGTTTTTATACTGCAAGTTGTGCTAGTTGTGCTTTTTAAAGGAATTTTAAATGAAAATTCTTTTTAGTTCCTGTTCTAGTAAAAGAATTTAAAGTAATATGTTTATGGCTTTTCCCCAGAGGTGGTATTTTGAGTTATATTTCAGTTTAGATGGAGGTCTGCAATAGTTTTATACCAGTGCTATCCGATTGAACTTTCTTTGATGCTTGAAATGTTCTGTATCTGTGCTGTCCAATAAAGCAACCATTAGACCTGAGTGTCAGCATATTATCTATTTATCTTTATCTCTTATCAAGCAAATGGAATTTTGTAATGACTTGATTAGTTTTATACCATATAATTTAAGAAAATTCATAAAGTATTATATTAAAGTTGATATAGCTTTGGGGGTTACTTTTTATATGTTAAATATTGAGTAAGAAGATTTATAGCAATAACACTTCAGGTTTCACTCTAATAAATGAGTAAGTTTGTTAATAATGCCTTTTGTTTTTCAGATTGCAAATAGAAGAATCTTCCAAACCTGTAAGGCTATCACAACAACTGGACAAAGTTGTGACAACCAATTATAAACCTGTTGCTAATCATCAGTATAATGTAAGTCTTCATGTTGTTATTCATTCTGTTACATTTTTATTCTTTTCTGTTTTGTAGACTCTAAGGTTTTAAAAGGACTTTAGTCACACACCTGCTATTAAGTGATTGAGTTATCTAGACTGGGTAAGGAATATGATGATTTACCACGCGTGGTAGATGTTCACTCTGTATCCTAAGTTAAACAATGGGAAGAAGGCAACTGTTGTTTAAGCTACTCTTGATAAATTTTTCAAAGAAATAAAACACTTCATTTTTCAGTGTTTTTAATGTTTTAAATTACGATGTCCTTAATAAATATTAGTTTTAATATTTTTTTCATTTTTCCATACCTTTATAACTAGAAATTTTTAATGTATTGACAAGGAATTTTCTAAGTCTGGAACAACAGTAATTTTTCCCACTGATTTTTTTTTTAAAGACTTTATTTATTTGACAGAGAGACAGCAAGAGAGGGAATACAAGCAGGGGGAGCGGGTGAGGGAGAAGCAGGCTCCCCACAGAGCAGAGACCCCAGTGCGGGCCTCGATCCCAGGACCCTGGGTTCATGACCTGAGCTGAAGGCAGACGCTTAATGACTGAGCCACGCAGGCACCCCTTTCCCATGGATTATTAAGATTGCTTTGCATAGTTGCAACTTTCACGGGCATTTTTATGGTCTCATTATCATGCAAAGTGAGGACTGCCTGTATATATTTTTAAACCATTTTTAATTGAAGTATATTTTACATATACTATATATATTATAATATACAATACACACATATACATGTTATGTGCTGTGCACTGAGTGCTTCATATGATGCGTTTAGTCTTCACATTTACCCTATGAAGTAGCTACCATTACTATCCTCATTTTACAGATGAAGTAACTAAGACCCTGAGAGGTTAGCTTACTTGAGGTCGCACAGCCAGTGATTAACCAATTCAGGTGTTGAACCCAGGTAGCCTGGTTTAGGAGCCATGCTCTTAGTTAACACTGTGTTGTGCTGCTGCAGGTCATTAGAAGTACTGAAAGGGCTAAGGATTTTGGGTCTTGAAATACCTGTAATGTAAGGAAAAATGTGATGATTTTCTGAAAATACAGTGAAACCTGAGTTAAGGCAAGTAACAATTAACAGTTGATATCTTATGTCCTACTTTGTTGCTTAACATTCCTCCCAATACAGTGTTTAAGACTGGCCTTAAGTATCTAGATTTAGGTGTCACAGTTTAGTATTTGTCAGACCACTTACTTCATGAAATTTGAGTTTCTTAAGGTTATTTTACATGAGAAGTAGCAAATGCCTACAGAGCCAAGCAGTCCTCTTCAGTGAGCAGAGTGCTGAAATTTAAGAAGGTAAAATGGTAAGGACTATGGTGAACTGGAGTGTGCATGCCCCTTCTTAAAAACAGTATTTTTTAAATTGCTGTGCTATGTGGAGTAAATAAAGCAAATCAAAGTTCATTTGCATCCAGCCAGGCTTTCAGTTTACAGGCTCTGGTTATGCTTTCAGGGGAAACGTAAACTTAAGAAGAAGACAGGCTGAATAAGTGTCAGATAATCCAAGTCTATCTTTTTGGCTGCTGCTTTATCACAGTAAGGACAAGAAAGGCCATACTTCCCATAAACTATAAAGAGATGGAGAGAAGTTTGGTAATTTGTGTCCAAAGCACTATAAAGAATATATCTTAGACCCAGCAGTCTTGTATCTAAGAATGTATCATAGGAAGACAGGGCCCAAAGGTAGATACACAGTAGTGTTTCTCTCTGTTATTTAAGACAGGCAAAGATTGGAAACAAATGTCCAAAATTAAGATTAAATACTTTAATGGTCATTATTTTTGGATGATAGAAGAGTTAGAATGATTTTATCCTAATTTTCTACCTTATAAAGTCTTTTTGAATTGTTGGAATCATCACAGTGAGTATGTATTGTCAAATTGTTACAGTGGACAGTAAAGCCTTTTTGTTGGAATAAGAAAAGTAAGGAAGCTGGGAAAGAGTTAGTACCGGGCCATAATGAGCTCCTACCACCATTGATGAGGCAAAAAGAAAATCTATCTTGAGTCATGCAAAGCTGGTACTTTGCTAGTAAGTTCATGTTCTTAGTGATATTGGCACTATATCCAGTTGGCAGGTGTGGAAGATAGATTCCAAATTTCGTATTTTTAGGATGTTTTTATATTTTCTTTTTACCGCTAAAGTAAGTTTGAATATGTTGTATTCTGAACTCCATATTAGGATGTAACGCTGTATCATCCGCTCCAAAGACTTGTTAACATTAAGTGGCAGTTCATGGTATCAACCTTTATTAAGGTTGTCATTGCACTAGTGAGTCGTTATACTAATGTAGTTATCAGCAGTGAGCCATACAGTAATCTTTGGAAAGATTTTGCTTATATAAAAATAAAGATTGACTCTGGTCTATCATGTGGCACTATCTGAATATTTCATGAATTTTTTCCACCAAATGGTAGTGTATCAGAATAAATGGAGGCACCTACATAGCTTTCAAAACATATTCAGTATTATAGTAATATCAACTATAGAAAGCTTTTGTTATTTTTATCAGAAGGAAGCTTTGATTTTTTAAAAGATTGAGAAACAGCAACATAATTCAACAAGAATGACTTAGAGCTTACATAATCAAGATGTTCTATAAAATTTTAAATCCAGTATGATGTTGAAATGTTTTCAGAGTTTTACCAGGTGAAAAACATAAACATGAAGCCTGGTATTTCATCATAACTGTTGAGGTTCTTTGAATATAATTTTCAGGGTAAATGTAAGGGAAAAATTTTCTACAAAAATTGAAAGAGGGGCTAGAAAATGGCATATATATTTATAAAACTATATCCCTGCATTTGATCAGAAAAACCCACTTTGCATTTACTCCCAAAACCTTTCCCACCCACCTATGGCTCATAGATAAACTTACATATACAATTGACCCTTGAACAATGTGGAGGTTAGGGTCACTGACGCCCCCCCCAACCCCCACCCCCTTACACACACACACACACACACACACACACACACACACACACACACACACA